ACTGAACAAATCTACTCTCAAGGATCTCTTTAAAGTGCTAAAGAGAAATGATGTAAGTTTAAAAACTAATATGTGACTAAGGTACGCTATGGCATTTTGAATTGCTTCCTCTGCATATGAATTAGATAGTGACTAAGGATGGCCTAATGATCAATTCCTTTGATCTGTGGTGTTGGAAGAGAACTCAATATCCCATGAACTGACTAAAGAAAAAACAAGTTTGTCTTGGAGGAAGTACAACCAGGATACTCCTGAGAGGAAAAGATGATAAGAAACCTTATCTCAAATACTTTGGGAAGGGCGGCTCCTTGGAAAAAGACTTCTTGCTGGAAAAGGTAGACAGGGTAGAGAAAGAGAAGACTCTCAACAACATGGACTCACTCAGTGACTTGTAACAAGGAGCTTGGACTGAATGGGTATGCAATGTTGGAGACTGTGTAGAAGATGCAAAATGGGCCAGGTGTAGATCTGTTGTTCATATGCAGACTGAGTTGTAGTCGACTCGACAGCATCTTCACAACAAGCAGCAAGCCCAGAAACAGAAAGTGAGTTATGCTGAACTCCCAAAAGGAGCTCTGTCAATCAATATGGACAAAACAACCAAACCCCACAATGAATGCTCCTCTAGAGTTTCAAACTGCACTTTTCCTAGTATAAAATTACTTTACTTCACATGCAACAGATCAAGAAAAACAAACAAACAAACAAACAAACAAACAAACAAACTAGTTTTCAGAAAATCATCTCATTATTTTCATTCTTTCAGGCTGGAAAAAAAGATACGCCCTGTTATTCTCATGTGCAACAGCTTCTCTCAGGCAGGCCTCTTTTGCTTGCTCGAATTGTTTGGCATTCTTAAAAGCAACAGCTGGGGGGGGGAGAGGGGAAACAAAACAGAAAAAGAGACTATTTCCATTATTTAAATACACCAAATGAAATATGACTGAAATCTGCATCACGTGTCAGGTATTAAAAAATAGGTTTATTTCAGCCAAATGCTTAGGAAATTTCAGAAAACTACAGAATACTCCTTTTTATCTAAAGCAATATTCCAACTCTTTATATTATCAATTTAGACATATTTTCTTGTGTCTTTTCTTTAAATATCAGTGATTCCTGGAACAGATCATTATTATTTCCATTAAAAATTAAAAAGACTTTCTAATGCCAGTATCTGCACTTTAACATCAATAAGCATTAATGAGTCAATACTTTTAAATTACAAGTATACTCTTTTTGCTCAACAGACAAGCAGCTTTCAACAACAGTTTTACATTAAAATGAAAAACAATGCTTTAAAAAGTCAGTTACAGCTACTTGATCTTTTCAGATATTTAGAAAGGGAAAAACAATAAATACAGTAAATATAATAAACCCTCTTCCTAGTTGGTACAAGTTCTAAACAAAGACATTATAATACTTTTAGGGGGAAAAAACCCCAAAAAACAAACACCATGCTTATATACTGTTAGGTGTTCATGAAAGGAAAAAAACTACTGACCTAAGAGGTAACCTAATATGCTGTTAGTTTTGTAGAACTATTTTCAGCAGAGTAAAACTATTATCGGTGGCTTTAAAATATGATCTTAGAACTTTTGAAAACTTACCAAAGGAGAAAGAAGTAAAAATCTTACTACTTTAAGAAAACTTTAGACAAACGCATACACTTATAAAATTCATTTTAATAATGTATTAACAAGAAATACTGAAACAATTCAAGTTGTCTCCACATTTTTAAAAAATTACTGTACTGGTTACTTATTTTCAATATCTCTTTTAGAAAGAATGCTTTAAGGAAAAATGTGGCTTACAATATTCGATGTTGAAAGCAGTTCATTGTGTCCAATTCAAACCAAAGGAATATTTTTTACCATTGAGGAAACTTAAAAAAATAAAAGATGCTTCCTTTAGTTACAAAAGCATACACAAAATACACGAGGCAACATGAAATACTTGTATCTGTGTACCATCAATCCTACCCCCCTCTCTGCTGTCATGAAGGAGGACCTCCAATTCAGCCCTCAACATACCTGGAATAAGTAGGAGTAAAAATACAAAGATTAATGGCATTTTTAATTCTATTTATATCTAACAGGAAGAATTCAGAAAAAAAATTATACTGAGAATAAATACAACAGTTATATACTATAGTGATCACACATACCTGCTTTTCCATATTCAGAAGCAGCACTGTCATAATCTGGCTTCCATTTTAAAAAACCAGTTTTCAAGCTAAAAGACAAGACATATTTTACATTTGTAAGTCAGAACTATGCTCATAATATTAGAAAAGAAGTCATCAGGTACAAACTCCCCATCTGGACACCTTCATCCATAATTTATTTATAATTAAACTTTCACCATTTACCCTCTAACTGTCATGGAAGTGGTACGTTCCTTTCAAGTCAGCACACAATCCTCCTGGTCATTGTACCTGTTGTTGTTATGTACCATAGAGTTGCAACCTACACATAACTGATTCTCCAGCCAGTTTGCAGAGGAAGTTAATTGCATGGGAGGAGACTCCCCTCCTTCATCATTAGGAATCCATAAGAACTTGCAAAAATTGAAAAAAGAAGGAACACTTCCAGAGTCATTCTATGAAGCAAGCATAACCCTAATACCCAAACTAGACAAAGGTATTACCAAGAAAGAAAACTACAGACCAATATCTCTCATGAATATAGATACAAAAATCCTTAACAAAATCCCAGCCAATAGAATCCAAAGGCACATACAAAAAAAAATAATTCACCATGACCAGGTGGGATTCATGACAGGTAAGCAGTGACAGTTCAACATAAGAAAAACAATCTTTTGCTTTTCAAGGAGAGGAGCAAATGGGGGGGGGAGGGGTTTGTGCAGGGAGAAGGGTGCAACAATGAATGAATGGAATCCCAAAATCTCTGTAGATGTTCATTGAAATGAAAAATAAACAACCTAAATTAAAAAAAAAAGAAAAACAATCAATGTAATTCACTATAATAACAAGAACCATATGATCTTAGCAATTGATGCTGAAAATGCCTTTGACAAAATCCAACAATGCTTACTGATAAAGACACTCAGCAAAATTGGAATGGAGGGAATTTCCTCAATATAGTGAAAAGTAAATATGCAAAACCAAGAGCCAACATCATTCTCAATGGAGAAAGACTAAAAACATTTTCCTTGCAAACAGGGACCAGACAAGAGTGAAATATCTCAGTCACAAAAGGACAAATACTGCATGGTGCCACTGTTGTAGAATGGGACATCAGGGTTGGGGTAAGACTGAGAAAAAAATGGATAAATTATTTATACTGCATTGAAACAGATGAGGGAGAGAATAATTTAAAAGTGATATATGATAGGGTATTATGGTTATCATAAGAGTCCAGAATGAAGGTTGTATAGTGGAGTGTACTCGGGTGGTGGGAGGGATGCAGGGGGATTGTATACCACAGAAGGAATTTTTCTTTTGCTTTTTAAAGAGAGGAGCGAACTGGGGAGGGGGGGGAGTAGGGCTGGGCAGGGAGAAAAGTATAACAATGAATGAATGAGAATTCAAAATCTCTGTAAATATTCATTAAAATTAATAAAATAAAATAAAAAAAATATTGAATTGGAAGTGCTTGCTAAGGCAATAGGATGAGAAGGAAAGAAAAGGCATCCAGATCGGCAAAGAAATAGTTAAATTGTCACTATATGCAGATGATATGAGAGTGTACACAGAAAACCCCAATGACTCAACAAAAAAACTGAGTTAATAGGCCAGTTTAGTAGATTGGCAGGATATAAGATCAATATCCAAAAATCAGTAGGATTCCTCTACAGTAACAAAGAGAACTCAGAGACGGAAATAAAGAAAGCAATACCATTTAAAGTAGCCAACAACAACAAATTGAAATACTAGGGAGTGAATCTAATTAGAGATACAAGAGACCTATACAAAGAAAACTATAGAGCATTCCTGAAAGACATAATAAAAGACCTAAAGAAATGGAAAAATGTACGCTGTTCATGGATAGGAAGATTCAATATGGAGAAAATTACAATCCTACCAAAAGCAATCTACATGTTCAATGCAATCCCAATCCAGATGACAAATTCATTTTTCAAGGACATAGAAAGGGAAATTATAAAATTTATTTGGAGAGACAAGAGACCTCAAACAATCAAAATACTTCTGAGAGACAAAAATGAGGTTGGAGGCATAGCACTTCCTAACCTCAAAACCTACCACACAGCAGTGGTAACAAAAACCAGCATCGTACTGGTACAGTGACGGCACATAGGCGAATGGAACAGAATTGAGAACCCAGAAATAGATCCAGCTATCTATGGTCAACTGATATTCGACAAGGAAATTAAAGCTATCGAATGGGGAAATGATAACCTCTTCAACATATGGTGCTGGCAAAACTGGACTTCGACCTGCAGAAAGCTGAAACAGGATCCACGTTTCATACAATACACAAAAATCAACTCAAGGTGGATTAGAGACCTGGGAGTAAAGCCCAAAACCATAATATTTATTATACACAAACTGGGATCAAGCTTAGAAGCACAAGTCCAAGGTTTAAGGAGACTGCCAAATACAACCAGAAATGCACAATCTAAAGAGGTTAAAATTGATGCACGGGATCTTCTAAAGATGAAATCTCTGTGCACATCAAAAACTTTTTCCAACAAGGTGAAAGAAAACCTACACACTGGGAACAAACATTTGGTAATACTATTTCAGACAAGAGTCTTATAACAAGTCTACAGAATACTCCTGGCCCTCCACAAGAAAAAGACTGAAAATCCAATTGCAAAATGGGCAAAAGACATGGAAAGAATTTTCACAGAGGAAGATATTCGAATGGCAAACAGACACATGAAGAAATGTTCCAAATCACTGGCAGTAAGAGAGTTGTTGTTGTTGTTATGTGCCATCAAGTCGCTTGCGACTCCTAACGACCCTATGTACAACAGCCCTAAACTCTGCTCTGTCCTGTGCCAATCGCACTGTCTCCAACACACCCATCCCAATTATCCCAGTCAATCCCCCTCATAGGGGGTCTTCCTCTCCTTCACCGTCCCTCCACTCTGCCAAACATGATGTCCCTCTCCAAGGACCAGTCCCTCCTTGCAACATGCCCAAAATATGTCAGACGAAGCCTCAGAATCCTTGACTCCAGGGAACACTCTGGCTTCACCCTCTCCAGGACAAACCTGTTTGTTCTCCTAGCAGTCCATGGTATATTCAACACTCTTCTCCAGCACCACAGCTCAAAGGCATCAATCCTTTTTCTATCAACCCTACTCACTGTCCAACTCTCTGATGCATAGCACATAATTGCAAAGATTATAGCCCGGATCAGGCGCAGATGCATATCAAAACCACAGTGAGATACCATCTCCCTCCAGTAACAGTGGCAAAGTTTAACAGGACAGCAAGTAATAGACGTTGGAGAGGATGTGGCGAGAAAGGAGCTCTTAAACATTGTTGGTGGGATTGTAAAATGGTGCAACCATTCTGGAAGTCCATTTGGTGCTTCCTCAAAAAACTGAACATAGAAATTCCATATGACACAGCTATTACACTACTTGGAATATACTCTGAGAATATGAGAACTGAGGCACAAACTGAGATTTGTACACCAAAGTCCATAGCCGCATTATTCACCATTGCAAGAACTTGGAAACAGCCCAAATGCCCAAGGAATGGATTGAAAAATTATGGTACATTCACACAGTGGAATACTATGTAGCATGCAGGAGCAATAACCTTGTAAATTATTATCTAACTTGGGAGGGACTGGAGAACATTATGCTGAGTGAACTAACTCAGTTCCAGAAGGATAAATATGTATAAAACCGTTATTGTAGAATGAGTATAATGATCCAGGAGGGGTAGGAGAGGCTGGAAGCAGAGGGACGTTGATGTGCAGGGAAAAGGGGGGATGACTCATTGGGTTGTACAATTTGATGGGTAGGGGGGTAAGGGAAATTGAAAGAATTTGTTCAAATTTGTATTCAAATCTTGTAAACAAACTAGTAGAGTGAAAATATGCTAATTTTTTAGTTGATTGTGACTCCTGTGACCTCATCTGTGTCACAGTAGACCTGACATCCACACGATTTTTAGTGGCTTTGCTTTTGGAAGTAGACTGCCAGACTTTACTTCTCAAGCGCTTTGTTGTTGTTGTGTGCTGTCACATCTGCGACTCATAGCGATTTTCTGCACAATAGCTCTGAACCCTGCTATATCCTAAGCAAATCTCATATCCAACAGGCCTTATCTCATTTCTCCAGTCGCTAAGTCAATCCATCTCATGTTGGGTTTTCCTCTTCTACACTGTTTTGGACATGTAAGGTGGGACCAGTCCTTTATTAGGGATGTCATCCTTGGAAGGTTGGAGGGACAACACGAGAGGAAGACCCTCAATGAGATGGATTGATTGTGACTGGGGTAATGAGACAGGTGTGTCAAATACACTAAGACTGGGATAGAGCAGGGCTTAGGGCTGTTGTACATAGGGTCGCTATGAGTTGCAGGAAACTCAACAGCACATAACAACAAGAACAACAATAACGCTGTCTCCTACCCTTCAAGCATGATGTCCTTCTCCAAGGACTGGTCTCTCCTGGCCACGCACCCAAAGTGTGTGAGATGGAGCTTCAAAGTCCTTGCCTTCTCACTCTCTCTAGGACAGACCTCTTTACTCTCCTGTTTATTCATGGTATATTCAACACTCGTCCCTAGCACCACAACTAAAAGGCATCAATTCTTCATATATCATCCTTAGTCATTGTCCAAGTCTCTGATGCATAGCAAATAACTGTGAATAACAAGGCCTGGATCAGGCACAGCTTAGTCTCCAGATTGACATTACTGCTCTTTAATACCTGAGAGAGGGCCCTGACACCATATTTTCCCAATGCAATATGTCTTTTGATTTCCAGACTACTGGTGTGAAGCTGAAGCTGTTAATGATCTGTCTTTTCTCCATCTATCATAAAGCTACCAATGGCCCCAGTGGTAAGAATCTTTGTTTTCTTCATGTTGAGCTTCCATCCATATTGTAGACTACATTCCTTGACCTTCTACAGCAAATGTCTCATGCCTCTCTCGGTTTCAGAAAGCAAGGTTGTGTCAACTGCATAATTTACGTTGTTGATGAGTCTTAGTCCAATCCTGATGACACATTCCTCCTCATAAAGTCCTGCCTCCCATACGATCTGTTTTGCATCCAGATAAAAAA